CGGCGGCCAACCGCCCTCCGAAGATGACAGCAGCGAGGAGGAGCACTCGCACGGTGAGCCCGGCGGCCGGGGGTAGCAGGCGCGCCGGCCCGGGTCGCGGCGTGGGGCGGGGGCGGGGGTAAGTGGTAGACCACAGGCCTCTTATACTGATGGTGCTTGTCCGTCCTGGTTTGGTGTCTCCCTCGCTGCTCCCGTAATCCTGGGGCTACCACTGGGGCCCCTTGCTGCCGTGGAGGCGGTCCTGCCCGCCCCCGCCCTGCCCTTGGTCTCTGAGGGACCTAGGCGTGTCTCCTTTCCAGATTGTGTCCCGCATATCTTGCCAGGTTTAGGGGACTGAGGTCTGGCAGGGGCAGGGGCTGAAAAGACATCGCTACTCAGAGCCCGAGACTCATGTGGGGAGGAGCCCAGGGTTCCCTGCGGGCAGTGGTCCAGGTCTAGGGGCTGCCCTCCACGCCCTCACCCTCCGCCAGAACAAAGCACTCTGCTTTGGCCTGGGCTTTAAAAACTGTCCTCCTGTCACCCCCCGCCCCGTGCTCTGGTCATGACTAGACAGAGTCGCTTCTTCCAGTCTCCCTGGGGCAAAGGGTAAACAGGGAAGATAGGTGAAAGTGAGCCACTTGGAAGGTGGGAGGCCTGGGTGGTAGGTCAAGAACTCCAGGCCACCCCTCATCTTCCTGGCCTCCCTCCCTCCCTCCCTGGAGTCCTGACTGCCTCCTGGCTCTGCAGACAGCATGATCCGCGTTGGAACCAATTACCAGGCTGTAATTCCGGAGTGCAAGCCTGGTGAGTGGCGGCACAGGCGGTGAAGGGAGGGGGTGGGGGCCGATGGTTTGGCCTGCAGCCCCACCTGGGGAGCCCTTGGCCTGTTCCTGCTGGAAGGACAGGCAGGCCGACGAGGTGGGTGGCCTCGTGGTGTGGTTGTAGTATGGTTACTTTTCCTACTGTGCCTTCCTGTCTGGGTCTCTGCCCCTCCTTCCCTTCTGGGCCTCACCTCCCAAGCCCCACTCCTGTGCTGCCCTCTCACCTTGGGATCAGGGTGGTGCCACCAGGCTGATCTGAGTTCTTCCCTCATGCTGTTTGGCCTTCAGAGAGTCCGGCACGCTACAGTAACAAGGAGCTGAAGGGGATGCTGGTGTGGTCACCCAACCACTGTGTGTCAGATGCCAAGCGTGAGTGGGGTGGGCTCCTGGTTCAGGCTCAACCCTGGGAGGTGGGAGCTTGGCTACATCTCCTCCCAGGACCAGCTCTTCTCAGAAGTAAGCTAAGTGCTGTGGGACACACCTGTAGTCCTACCTACTCAGGAGATTAGTTGGGTGGTCATTTAAGCCTAGGAGTTTGAAACCAGCCTGGGCAATATGATGAGACCCTATCTTTAAAAAAACAGGAAGAAGGGAAAGGAGACCCTGGGTCTGAGGGTTAGGGCCTTTGCCCCAGGGTGTTAGCCCTCTGGACAGGTCTGGGTTAGCAGCCGTAACCCCCATCCAAGACCTTGCTTCTCCCCCCTCCAGTTGATAAGTACATTGCAATGGCCAAGGAGAAGCATGGCTACAACATCGAACAAGTGAGCCAGGGCTGTATGGGTGTTTGGGGCTAGGGATGGGGAGGTACTGTGCTGGCAGAGCCTGAGCTGCCTCATCTGCCTGGCCAGGCACTGGGCATGCTTCTCTGGCATAAGCACGATGTGGAAAAGTCTCTGGCTGACCTGGCCAACTTCACCCCATTCCCTGATGAGTGGACTGTGGAAGACAAGGTGCTGTTCGAGCAGGCCTTTGGCTTCCATGGCAAGTGCTTCCAGCGGATCCAGCAAATGGTAAAGCCCTTTGCCCTTAACCTCAAGAGCTCCTCAGCTCCCTCTTCCACCAGCTGCTAGGGGGCCCAGAGTTCAGGGTGGGCCCCCACTCTGGCCTTATTTTCTCCCTAGCTGCCAGATAAACTGATTCCCAGCCTGGTGAAGTATTATTACTCTTGGAAGAAGACCCGAAGCCGAACTAGTGTGATGGACAGACAGGCACGGCGTCTGGGGGGCCGAAAGGACAAGGAAGATAGGTAGGGGCACAGTTCAGTGCTGGGTGAGGACAGGTGGTATTCCTAGCCTGTCCTTGCCTCATTTCTTCCCTGGCCCTTGTGTTAGCAGTGATGAGCTTGAAGAGGGACGAGGAACTGTGAGTGAGGGAGAGCCAGATGCTGGAGACCCCAAGAGAGAGGTGAGGTGCTGAGCGGCTCTGGCTCTACCTGAGCAGTTTGCCTGTCCTTAGGCTCTGCACTATCCATCCCCTCCTTTCTGCAGCCTCTGCCCTCTCGGCCCCTGAATGCACGACCAGGCCCAGGAAAGAAAGAGGTCCAGGTGTCTCAGTACCGCCACCATCCGCTTCGAACCCGGCGACGCCCACCCAAGGGCATGTACCTGAGCCCTGAGGGTCTCACTGCAGTGTCAGGAAGCCCTGACCTTGCTAACCTCACACTCCGTGGTCTTGACTCTCAGCTCATCTCTCTCAAGCGCCAGGTGGGGGACCAAGACAAGAGGAAGTGTTCAGTGTGGGCTGTCAGCTCCTAGGAGAGTTCTGAGGGCAGCTGAGTTGTAAGGGAGCAGGTATAAGTGCTAAGCCTAGTTTGGCTCCATCTCTAGGTTTTTTTTTTTAAATGGGTACCAGGAATCGAACTCAAGACAAGTTGCCAGACAGGTGCTACACCACAGAACTATATCCTTGGCCCTAGGATTGATATTCTTGTTTGGACCTGTTTAAAAATCGATTTTCAAACAGGAAGGAAGGACTGCAGTTTCTTCTCCTGAGTGGCTGTGTTGGAGAATGGCTGGATGGTGGTGTTAGAAAGCTTTATTAGGGGAAGTGGGGCCCTGGTGGGGCTGGGGTTAGTGATCTCCCAGGGAAGGAGTCTGATCAACCCTCCTTGGCCTCCCCAGGTGCAGAGCATGAAGCAGACCAACAGCAGCCTCCGGCAAGCCCTGGAGGGTGGCATTGATCCACTGCGCCCCCCTGAGGTAAGGCTGAGCTGCAGATTTGCGTGCAACATGAGAGGGTGGAGTTCTGTATGGGTATCAGGACTCCATTTCCACATTTTAAAATTTCTTTTTCTGAAACTGCATCTATGTAGCCCAGGCTAGCTTTCAACTCTCCAGAGATCCTCCTGCCTCAGCTTCCAGAGTACTAGAATTACTGATTACTGACACTATGCCCAGTTCTATTTCTTTTTCTTTTTTTTTTTTTTTTTTTTGGCAGTACCGAGGATTGAACTCAGCACCTTGCCCTTGCCAGGCAGGCACTTATGCCATCTAGCTATCTCCCCAGCCCTCTAGCTATCTCCCCAGCCCTCTTTCCTCCTATCTCAGCCTCCAAGTGCTGGGGTTATATGCATATGCCACCACAGCTGGCTTTTTTTCTTTTCATTTCCACATTTTTATATCTAAAGGTTGTTTCTTGCTCATTAGGCCAATACCAAGTTCAACTCCCGCTGGACCACAGATGAGCAGCTTTTGGCTGTGCAAGGTGGGTGAGACCATGGGAAAGGAGAGGGGATCCCCGGAATGTCTCTCCCCCTCCAAAGAGCATAAGGTGGAGGGAAAGGGCCAGGGAAGTAACTAGATCTGAGGGACTTTCACACTCTGTTGCCCTTTTGACCCTTGCAGCCATCCGCAGATATGGCAAAGACTTTGGGGCTATTGCAGAAGTGATTGGGAACAAGACTCTGACCCAAGTGAAGACATTCTTTGTGAGCTATCGGCGCCGCTTCAATCTGGAGGAGGTGCTGCAGGAGTGGGAGGCTGAGCAGGATGGGGGCCCTGGAGCCCCAGTCCCCATGGAGGAGGCGAGGAAAGGGGCCCCCTTGCCAGCACCAGCCCTAGAAGAAGATGATGAGGTGAGGAGTGAGCACAACCCTCAGGAGGAGGCACCACTAAGACCTGAGGATATATAGGCACCCACATTTTTTATTTTCTTTTTTCAGGTCCAGATTACATCAGTGTCAACATCTGTGCCTCGATCAGTGCCCCCTGCGCCACCGCCCCCTCCACTGCCCACCTCACTGTCTCAGCCACCCCCACTGCTGAGGCCACCTCTGCCCACAGCTCCCACTCTGCTTCGCCAGCCACCCCCACTGCAGCAGGGCCGCTTCCTGCAGCCCCGGCTGGCCCCCAACCAGCCCCCACCACCTCTCATCCGCCCAGCTCTGGCTGCTTCTCGCCACAGTGCTCGGCCTGGCTCTCAGCCCCCACCCACCCTGATTGGAGCCTCCCTGGAGCCTCCTACACCCTCACTCTGAGGCCTCTGGGGTCCTTCATCACCCACAGGCATCTGAGCCTGTTTGCTGGACCCCTTGGGTATCTCTGGTGTCACTGAGGACAGAATCAACTCGGCCTCTGCTACAGGTCTTTCTGGCAGCTGGGCTGTCTCCTGAGCCAGGGGCTGGAGCTCAGGGGCCAAGGTGTTCTGAGGGCAACGCTGCTTTCCTGGCTGGGACTGGAATGGCTGCCTCTCTGTGAGGGCTTGGCCTTTGAGCTTGCCCTGTATGTGTAGGAGGTAGTGACCTTAGTGTGGGGGCTGGGAGGACAGTTTGGGGTATTAGCTGTCCTTGTTCCTCTTCCTCTCCTTTTAGCAATAAGACTGGTGGGGAGCCCGGCAGACATCCCTTGGGGCCTGACAGCAGTGCAGGCTGGCAGGAAGCCTGTCCTCAGGGCTAGATGACAATGCTGAGGATCTGAGTGCACACTTGGCTTCCCCTCCCCAAGCTTGAACAAATGGGGGTTGGGATCTTATGCAGACATGGGTCTATTTTTCAACATTTTTAATAAATAAGTACAACCTCCTAAGCTGGCCGTCTTTCCCTTTCCATCCTGCTCTCAGGTGGAGGGAGCTGGCCTTTCCAGCTCTGGCTGTTCCCCAAGCCCCACAGAAACCACTTCTCTGCAAGGCAGGCTGGGCTATATCTTGCCCAAAGGGACTGGGTCCTGGTGGGGCAGGGAGAAGGAACAGGAGGCGGGCAGCAACTCAGATTCCAAACATTCTCTTTATTACGTGTTTGATCCAGAGGAAAAACTAAGTGCAGGGCAGGGAGGGAGGAGCTAGGTGGGGAGGGGCCACCTTGCCTGGGTGCCCCTGGCCTCCACCCCCTTCAGGAGCCAAGCCATGCCCTCTTGGTCCCCTCGGAGCACCCGGGCTGTTCCTTAGGGCAGGGAGGGGTAGAGAGGGAGGGGGAGCCCTTGGTCTGAGCCGGAGCCACAGCTGGAGCAGGGAGAGCAGGAGGGCTGAGGTTGGCAAGGGACCCAAGGGCTCGTTTGTCACTGAGCTGGCCTGGGATTGGGGGTGATGAGCAGGGGTGGAGTCATCATAAATCAAAAAAATAATAAAATAATAAAATAAAAAAAACCCATCACAAAAAATGTACAACTCAAATGAGGGCAGGGGCAGCCTCTATAAGGCCCCCTCCCTCAATTTCTCAAGAACTGAAACAGCAGAGAAATAAATTAAGGGATGCAGTGGCCACCACCAGCCAAGCGCCCATAGCCACCCACTCCCACACTGGCCGCGGAGGTTAGCAAGCAGGGAGTCACTTCACCCACCTACCCCCCCAATTCTGTGTGGGGGGGTAGATGCTCCCGGTCCTGCCGCCCAATCCAGCCTTCCGCCAGGTGGCCTTGGAGGCCCTGGGCAGTCTCCTGAGAGGAGGGGCGACAGTGTCAGGAAAAAAAGGCAAGGCCAAGAAATGAGAGTGGTGTGGGAAGTCACCGCTATGGAGCGAGCTGGTGCCCAGATTAATGCCAATGAAGGGAAAGCGGGTGGGGAGGAGGGATGGCGAGGGGACTGTGCTTTCAGACAAAGGCTCTCCCAGAACGGAGAAACCTGGCGTCCTGTTCAGAGACTAGCAGCCCGAGTGCCCCGTGGGGGCCGAGGAGCCCATCTGCCCTGCAGTCCCCTCCCCCCGCTCCCAGTCCTGGATCAGCCCTCCCAGCAGGAGGGACAGAAGAAGATGGCACAGACTTTTGAGGAGGGGAATAAAGGTCCCCACAGCAGCTTGTGGAAGGAAATGCCCAGCTCTGGGGGAGAGCAAAGGATACAGTGTGAGGGAGGCCAGGGCCCCCACGCAGCCCCAGCCTCCCCAAGGCTGCACAGCACCCCCACCTGGCCCCTGGTCCCCAGGCCCTGCAGCCCAGGGACCTGGGGGCAGGGGAAGGCCACCTCTGGTGGTTTGCTTGGAGGGGAAGGGGAGGAGAGGGGAGAAGCCCAAAGTGGGCCTGGCGGAGGGCCTGCCAGGGAACTCCACCACTCTTGCCTGAGAGTGTTCCAGCCCTGAGCCACCCTCCCGGAAAACCCCACAGATCCAGTCTCGTCTGTCCCAATGGGGCAGGGAGGAAAGGTGGCCGCTGGGATTTTTTTTTTTCTTTTTTCTTTTTGGTAATAAAAAATTTCTTGGTTTAGGCGAAATACTCTGTGCAACCGCAGTACCGAGGGGGAGCCCTGCCCCCCCCTTGCCCCCTCCCCTTTCTTTGCCTCCTGTGGGAGAGAGAGGGGAATGGAGACTTTCTGGGCCAGGTGAATGTGAGGTGGGAGAGCCATCTCCTATCCTCCACAAACATGGGAGAAAAAAGGAGAAGGGCTAGGGGAGGGGACAAGTGCCAGCAGGGGAGACACACCAATTCATTGTTGCAGTCTCGCCTAGGTGGGGGCACCATGGCCAGCTTCAGCAGCCAAGTCCAGCTGGCCTGCCTCTGGTGCCCCGGGGCCGGCAGCCTGTTAAAGCTTCAGTTCATTCGCTATTTTGGAGGCTATGTTCTTGAAGGCCATGGAGGTGCCTGATATCCGCTTAAATCGAACACCATTGAGCGAGAGTCGTGGCAGTTTGCACACCTCCATCTCCCACTGCACGAAGTTCTCATGGCCTGGTGTGCCATGCATGCACAGCAGCATGTACTTCTCGTGCAGCTCGCTCTGACAGCTGTTCGCATCCAGCACCTTGCGGATTTCCCGCATCATCTCATTGGGCTCCATGGAACTTGTAGTCTTCATACTCCATGTAAAGCGCAATGATCGTGGCTTGGCCTCCCGAAATTCTTCCTTTTCTTTGTCATTGCCTCCACTGCCCACCACATGAGGTCTGTGGAGAAGGGCAGAGGTGGGCATCAGTCAACAGGTGGAGGCACCTCACCCACAGGAGGGCCACCCTAGCAGACAGACCCTGAGACCAGAGAGGAGAACAAGAGGGAGCACAAAGCATGGATCTGGAAGAGGGAGCAGTGTGACTGCAGTCTGAGGGGCAGCAAGGGGGCAAGAGGGGCAGACAGCCCTCTGGCCCTCCTTTCTCCAGAGGTGGGTGGGAGAAGTCAGCAAGGGTGGGGGTGAGAGTGCCACACTTTTATACATTCTTCTCTTTGAAGAGGGGAGGGTCAGGCGAGAAACAAATGCATTCATCCACACCCAGCACATGGGTCCTCTAGAGAGCAGACCAGGTACAGAGAGGAGCGTTAGCCACGGGGCAGGAAAACAGTGGGCCCAACCACGGGACCCAGGGCTCCAACCTCCAGAGTGTGGAGGATCTTAGGATAAGGGCCCAGAACTATTGCACTGGGAAAGGGAAATTCTCTGAGGAAAGGGAGACCCCAGGAGGGTGGGGGCAGGGTAGAACTACCAGAGGATGAGCCAAGTGGCAGAAGAAAGGAGGAAGCTGTGGCCAGCTGGGTGGCCTGGGCAGGGCCAGTGCTGGCTCCGGCCCTCTCACCTCAGTGTCTCCACTCGGTCTTTGCTTTCAGGTTCATTCAGGTTCCTCAAAAAACAGAGCGAGGGAGAGTTTAGTGCTGGGATCTCTCGCTCCTTCCGCCACCACAGACCCAGGTGAGGGTGGGTCTGGAGAGGCGCCACCAGTGAATGGGTAGGACCCAAGCTTAAAGGCCACTTGCCTGTCGGCTGCAGGCCAGCATAGCTCTGTAGTACCTCATACTGGCAGCGTGACATCCCTTCCAACAGGGAGCCTGTCCCTCCCCATACTCCCAGACATCTGTACCAGGAGAATCTACTGCTGGGGAAGGAAGGGTGTGGCTATATAGGCACAAGTCCCCACTATAGGCCCAGCATGAGCAGCTCCCTCTCCAGCCCACAGCCAGGCTCTTGCTCTCTACTAGGGAGGCAGGCTTGGGAGCAGCCTTTCTACCACTGTACCAGGGCTGCAGAGGCAAGGTCTCTGGAAAGAAGTTTTGGGTCTCTGCGGGGGAGACGTGTATAGAGGATACAGAAGCCTCTCTCAGGAGGCCCAGAGTGCCGAGAACTGGAGCTGCATGGTGGACACCTGGGATTGGACATCTATGGTCAAACTGGAAAGCAGTTGCTATCTGTATTTATAGCTCCCCTACCCCAAGCCCACCAGGCCCACTGCTCATACAGGAGAGGGGCTAGGGGCCAGGCAGATGCTCTGGAGATGGGGAAGAGGTCTGGCCCCGCTGAGCGGCTTCTCCAGCTCCTACCCAGAAGATGGGTGCCTGGAGCTGGGAAACTGGGGACTGCAGAGGGAGGGATGTGAGGAAGGAGTGGCAGCAGCACATATAGAAGGAACACAAAGACACAGACACACGGATGCCAACAAGCGCACTGTGATCAGGGCCTGGCTGTGCAAGGGAAGGAGCCCTAATTGCTCTCTCCCAGCCTCTGCAGAGCAGGCCCCACCAGCCATGCAGTGAGCTGAGGGAAGAGCAGGAGTGGGAAGCCCCAAAGACCTCATCTGGCCAGTTTCCCCCTTAGTTAGGACACCAGTGTGTCTGTTTGGCAACCTGTATTCCTGACCTGGCCCCTGGCGTGGCTTGGTATATGGCCCAGCCAGGCCTGCAAAGACAAAGACAAGGCCAATGCTGAAAGAGCTAGATCTGGCCCAGAAGGGAAATGGGCTGAGGATCTCCCGTTGTTCTGCCAGGGTTTAGGGGATTATTTAGTCCTGGCTCTTTGGCAGACACAGGCCATATGCGGAGGAAGCATCCTGGAGGAGGGACGTGACTCATCCAGATGCTGCTGGAGCAGGTTGCTGGGCCAGGGGCAGGCTGGGCCGGTTCTGCAGGAGCTGCCAGAAGGGGGTGCTGTGTCCCATTCATAAGGCAAAGGCTCCTTGGCCAGGAAGAGTCAAGACTTTAGCCTGGGGACCCCAATATCCTTGCAGTATCTCTAAAGTTTTGCCATCCCACAGGCCAGGGGGAAAAGGTCACATAGTCCCAAAGTTCAGCAAGCCCAGAGGCCCCCAAATGGGACCATGCCATACGCACTTTACATCCCATGGACCTCCTTGTAGCACATGCACACAAGAGGGGAAAGGGCCAGAAAAGGAGCCCAGTGCTGGTACCCCAAACCTAGGGCAGGTGAGAGGAGACAATCTTAAAGGGAGAGTCCCTGAAAAGGTCTCCTCTACTTAAGAGGACAGGCATACCCCCACCCAAGGAAGGCCCCTTACTTTTAAAACCATTTGCCCTGAGGGGCCCCCAAGTGTTCTGAGCCCAACTGTCTAAAGGGGGCAGGGAGGTGGCCTGGGGCCCAGGCTTGCTCAGAGCAGTCTTTATCCCTTTAAGATGGCGGATTGGAAAGCCACACAGACCAGATCAGCAGATGGAGACAGCAAGAGCCAGAAAAGGGGTGTTAGTGTCAAAGGCAGGACAGACACAGGACAGACAGACAGACAGACAGACAGACACACACACACACACACACACACACACACACACACACACAGAGTGGGCTCAACGCCTACCTTCTGGCAAACCTGAAAGACAGATTTCTAAAAAAAACAAACAAACAAAAAAGACAAAATAAAAAAAGAAATAAAAAAAATCCAACAAGACAATATGTGGATAAGCAGGTAGGGAGTGTGGGCTTCCCAGGTTCAAAGGTCACCCAGTTTTGGAAGAGCCGCTCAGCGGGACTAGAGTCCTGTTCTTCAGATCTGCTCCCACCCGCTCAGCAGCCCTTGAAGCTGCATTCCACAGTGTGCATGGCCAGTGGCTTTGGAGTGACACAGAAAGGCAGGGAGGCCTGCTCTCTCAAAGCCCCTGCTGCTTCTTGAGCTGTGACTCCAAGATGCAAGAGAGGAGGGAGGTGACAGGAACATCCCAAGAGGCCAGATGCACCTCCAGTTGCTCCACCCTGATGTGAAAAGCCTGGGGAAGAGATTCTCACCCACATCCACATAGGAAGGTACAGAGCAGCAGCGCTGCTGGGCAGGCCATGGTGGGCAAAAAGGAGGTCAAAGGGGGCAAGACAAGGGAAAAATTTTGCTTGTCAGCCAAGCCTGGCTCATGCCTCATGACTTTGCAGCTGCGTCACCAAATGTAAGTTTCCATGGGAACCCGGGAGAGAAAAAGGGGGCTTTTATTTTAGAATCTGAGTTCACACTCCCTGAGGGAGGAGGCGGCATCGCCCATCTGCTTGGGGCCAAAGAATAAGGGCTGCCTCTGAGGAGTTGGGGAGAGGCCTAAAAGGATGGGTCTTGGGCACATAAGGTGTCGACAGTGACCCAATTCTTAGGCTTCCTGAGGCCTCTAGAACCCAGTCCCAGTTCTGGTAACCCTACTTCACCTCCCATGTGAAAAGAAATGCCTGACCCCAGTCTTTCTACCATGACAAGGTCTCCACTCACCTGCGGACAAATTTGGAGGTGAACTTGCTGAAAATGCTCCCAGAGGCACCCCGCCGGCCCTGGCTGTGGCCAGAAGGAGAGGCTGGGGTCACGCCGTAGGGCAAATTTTGCTGGTCCCGGACTTGTCGGAGCTGCCCAGCGTGGAAGGTGCTTCGACTGGACACACCCCGGGGGAAATTAGTTCGGTCTGGGGCTCCACCACTGCTGCTGATGTTATGGGCAGAGGGGGAGGCAACAGGGACACGCTGGGGGGCTGTGCTGTGGGAAAAGAGGTGGGGGTGAGGGAACGTGTCAGATGCAGGGAAGCAATCACACCACTGAGCACCTGGAATGCCCTGTGGTGGGGATGGGGAGGGGAGATGCTAGAAGAGGCAGGCATCATGGAGGACACAGAAGGATGGGTGTGACCACTGAGGACAGCGGTGAGGAGGAGACTTGTGGAAGTGGAGGAGATGGTTTAGGGAAAGAAGAGGGGAGGCAAGGAAGGACCCAGGTGTGAGAACAGTACAGGCTGGAGAGAGCTGGCTCCTTGGACCTTCAAGGGGCAATGGGGACCAACCCTCAATGACTGAGGATCACAACAAAAAGGCTTCCCTTTGGAGCTTCAGGACAGCTTTCTGCATACTTGTTCTGAGAGGGAGAACTGAAGGAAAAGAGGGGCATTAATGCTTTTTGTGCCCTCTGTTTCCTAGCTGCAAGGTACAGAGCTATTTCTTGCAGCTAAAATGACAAGAAGGGAACAGGCCCCCCAGGTGAGAAGAACTTGCTGGGGAGGGGGAAGGCAGGCTAAAGGCAGCAGGTGCACCAGCTGCCCCAGTACACTTGCCTGGGCCGCGGCACCTCACAGTTACTCTCCGTGGGGGGCAGCCCAGAGGACTTGTTGGGGTGCATGGAGGCCGACATGGATTTCTGGTGCTGGCGGGGCCGGGCCGCAGAGACTGCGGCAGAAGCAGAAGCCGTGGAGGCCCGGGACCCTGGCATGGTTAGGCTAGGAGACAAAAGCAGCGGAGAGGCCCGGGTTAGGGGGTAAGTGAATAAGGAGCCTGAGTTAGTTAGGAAGCAAGGGCAGGGCCAGAGCATCAGCAGGCTGTGGGTCAGAGCTGAGGATGGAGATGGGAAACAGGGCAGGATGAAGAAGCAGTAAGGTCAGCCAGAATCTGGGAAGAGGAAACTAAAATGCGGGAAAGCTGACAGGAGGCCACTGCCTCCAGTTGTACTGGTCTCTTAGAAATTCTTCAAACAGGGATGTTCCTTCTACATAAAGAGCAGGGTGTTGCCATGGGGAAACTTTCATTAAGCTGACAGGAGGCAGAGCCAGGATGTGACACATCAGAAAAGTCTGTTAGGATGAGGATGGGGAGCTTTGCTCTGAGGACAGCTGGAGTCTCCCACATGTGCATTCCTGAAGATGGGTACTCCTGGCTCTACCTGAGCTGGGACCCCCAAAGATAAAGCCTTAGGAACATAGAAGAGACTGCTCCAGGCCTGGCCTCAGTCACAAAGCAGGAAGGTTGCTGAGATGAGCATCAGAGTCCCACCCTCAGCAAACAGCAGGAGCAGTTAGAGAGGAAGGGAGGAGGGATGGCGTGGAGCAGGGGAAGGTGGACAGCCAGACTGAACAGAGTCAGGACGAGACTCCAGGGAGCAGGGGCAGTGCTGGTGGGGAGGAACCTGTGATGCTGACAGATATGACCGCCCCCACTGGAAGAGGAGGTATGGGAGTGTGGCAGGCAGCCCAGCAGCTCACCTGTCTTTACCATTCTGGATGGAGGGCTGGCCAAGACTGGCCCTTTCCAAAAGCGGGGAGTTCCTGCTTCGGTTTGTGCTGGTGGAGAGGACGCTGTTCTGTGAGGAAGTGCAAGTAAAAAGTGTCTCACAGGAAGCTGAGGGTTCTGTAGTTGGCCTCTTCTTCCCCAAAGACAAGGACCAGCTTCCCTCCCTCTTCCTTTTGCGCAGATAGAGGCAGATTCAAAGAAAGATTCTGGCTGGGCATGGTGGCATATGCCCGTAACCTCAGCACTCAGGATGCCGAGGCAGGAGGATCTCTGGGAGTTCAAGGTCAGCCTGAGCCACAAAGTGAGTTCAACCCTGAGTTCAACTTGTAAAACCTGGTCTCAGAAAGACCCCCCCCACACACATGATCCTATTCATCCAGGAGGCTAGGTTTGTACAGTAAGCAAAAGTAGCAACCAGAGACCCAGTGTCTGCGTTAAGAAAGGAGAAGCGTAGGGAGGGGAGGTCCCACATAGGAAGGGCAGAGGGCAAGAAAGAGCCCTGGGGCTGGGTGTGGGCCATGGCTCACCGTGGAGGGGGTAGGAGTGGTCTTCTTCCTCTCCAGGCCCGGCAGGGGGCTGGCAGGCACTTTGGCAGTGCTACTGGCCTTCCGCCCTACCTCTCGATCCTCCTCAGGCCGCTTATTTTCTGTGTTGTTACTCTGAGTCTTCTTGGAGTAGGAATTAGAGGTGGGAATGGCTGGGCCAGCTGTTGGGGCCAGAGGCAAGGTGGGTAAAGCTGGGTGCCCAGTGAGGGGCCATTCCTTGAAGGGTGCTCTGTTATCACAAGCCCCCATTGCACAGAGGTGCAGAAATCAGTAACTTGCCCACAGCAATGCTACTAATAAATGGCTGAACTGGGAGTAAAACTCAGCAGTCACTTAAGAGCCTCTAGAATCTGTATGGCTCTGGACAGAAGTAATTCCCCAAAACCACATACCCTGGTCGCTAAAGCGTCGCTGCTTGGGGTTGGCTGATACACTGCGCTGTACTTTGTGGGATGGCGATGGGGCACTGCTGTTAGTTAGGTCAGCTGAAGGCCTGGGCTTCAAGGTAATGGCATCACCTTCCAGCTGCAGTAACAGAAAATATGGCATCAAAGAAGGGCAAGAGTCATGCAGAGACTCCTCCAGATGGACACTTACTTTTGCTGTTACATACTACCCTTCTCCAACACATACACATTCCAGGTTCACAGGTCACATTACCCCAAAAGACTGATACACATCTAGTCATATTTTTCTTCACCCTAAAGACTCACATGCCCTGTCACCCACAGAAGCAAACACAGCCACCAGACATGCCTGATAGACAAGGTCTTCAGTCTGTGGCCATACCACCCTGAATGCGCCTGATCTCATCTGATCTCGGAAGCTAAGCAGGGTTGGGCCTGGTTAGTATTTGGATGGGAGATAATCTGTCTTCAGACATACATACACACACTCACTCAGAAACACAAACACACATTTTCAGACTCAGAGACACACCACCTACAACAGAGCAGTCAGGACCCACCAGACATCTTTTAAGCAGGCTAGTGTGAGAACTTAGAAGCAGCCCACTACCACTAGGGCATGCACATGGGCATTCACAGGCACTAAACCAAATCTGAAAAGGCAGATCATCAAGCCTCCAGAATCAGTCGGGGCAGACATACCTGCACATGGAAACATGGACCAGACATAAACACCAGGAAAAGGCAATACAGACCAAAGCTTCACCTAAGACACACATGCACAAGCCAAAAGATGTGTATTTTCAGATACAGACACAAATACATCTAGAACACAGAACTGCCAGCCAGATGACCCAGACCCATTCTAGTAAACACAGGGAAGGCCAGCTCAATTCACTTATATGAAGCCTGGCCTCAGGCTTAGGCTCCCCCCTCTTTCTACCTTGTTCACTAAGGGAGCTCAGACACTACAGCTGGTTCAAGCTGGTTAGGAGAGGCCATGGCTTGGAAATGGGCCCTGCTCTAGAGTATGAGGGTGAAGTGCTCTCCATAGTCAAGAGCTGTTGAAAGAATGGGGCATGGAATACACACCTCAGGGCTCTTGTAACCCAGGAGCAGATAGGTTGCCATCACCTCGTTGTACCTCTGACCCACCAGTGAGTCCTGGATCTCTTCCCGCGTGTAGCCCATGGACACCATTAACTCTGCACAGAGGACACAGTTAAGGCTGATTTTAACCCCACGGCAGGTCAGCCTTCGGCCCAGCACAGCCTCACCTGTCCGCCGAGGGTCCTTGTAGTCAGGAAGTGGCTCCACATAAGGCTTCAGTTCATCATCTTCATGTCCCACATTCATCCATCGGTCTTTCATAATTTGCTGAGGAGCAAAGAGAAGGGAAAGAGAGGCAGAGGAAACTCATAAGTTTCCATGGGAACCCTGGACTTCTAGTCAGCTGGGATCCAGGCTGCTCACCTCTAAAGTGCCTCTCTTGCTGGGATTGAGAATGAGAAATTTCTTAAGCAGGTTTTCACAGTCCGTAGACATGTAGAATGGAATACGGTATTTTCCCCTCAGTACCCGCTCACGAAGCTCCTGTGGTTAGAAAATTCAAATCACCCCAAGGCCAAGAGAAGATACCTAATGTCCAGTGCCCCAAGAGCTCAAGACCGGCTAAATAGATGTAAATGAAATATGGTAGAAAGCAGACAGACTGGACCAAGATGCTCAGCAGAGAGGCAATGAATTACATACCCTTGGTTTGACCAATCTGAGGCTTGCAAACCTGACTACCTTGAGAGGTGAGCGTAAAATCATTTATCCGATTTCTTTCTTCTTTTTTTTTTTTTTTTGGTGGAACCGGGGATTGAACTCAGATGTGCTTACCAGGCAAGCACTTATTCTACTGAGCCATCTCCCCAGCCCCTATCCAATTTCTTAAGACAGAAATTGAAGCTACTGATTCCCATGGGTGGAAGGCCTTAGCAGCCTTCTCTAAAGCTCTGGCTTGGGAAAAATATATGCAGGCGGTAAAGGCGAGAGGGTCAGGGATAAGACCAAAGGAAAAGAGGAAATGGAAGTAATAAAAATGACCTAAGCCTGCATTTCACTCCACCTTGAGGTTCTGTCCATCAAAAGGCAGGGAGCCGCTGACCAGGGTATAAAGGATGACTCCTAAGCTCCACACATCCACCTCGGGTCCATCATATTTCTTGCCCTGGAAGAGTTCTGGGGCAGCATAAGGTGGACTGCCACAGAAGGTATCCAGCTTGTTCCCAAAGGTAAATTCATTGCTGAACCCAAAGTCTGCAATCTTGATGTTCATATCAGCATCCAAGAGCAGGTTTTCTGCCTGGAGAGTTAAAATAAATAATTATCAGGATAGCTGGTTTGGGATAGGATACCATGTCTGCATCTTGTACAATGAATAACCACTAAGACAACAATATGCAATGTATTAATTACTGAAAATGTGCCAGTAATCAGTTGTGAAACTGTCTCACTGATACTTGTTTCTCAATAAAATTATTAAAAAGAGAGGAAAAAAAGATAGCTGGGAAAGGGAGATTAGGCAGAAGGAACACCATGACAAAGTTAGCCTGGACTACATAGAGAGTTCAAAGCAACATGAACTACATAGCAAAACCATCTATAATAATAATATTATTATTATTATTATTATTATATTATTATATTATTATTATTTTAAAAAACCCAAATCCAAAGACACAAGAGAATACCACATGAGCTGCACTGAGGTACCGGGTAGGCAGGAGCAATGTGAATGGGGAAACAAATGAATAGTCATCTCAGCCTCACAACTTTCTCTACCAACTCCAGGGCAGGACTTCAGTCAACATGAACAGGATGGGTAGGAGGAGAAAGACCTGCAGGACACTCCCACATGCAGCCATGGATCTGGGATCAGCAGGCTGAGAGACCCTGGTAGCTAAGCCAAGCTTCTGAGTCAGGCCCCAGTTTCTTGGTTGTATGTGCACAGACTCAGTGGACAGGAGGTATACAGGAAGTCTCTAACTGGAGTAGCTTGGTGACAGTCATGTGTGTGAATATGCCTGTAAAGCATTGTGCTACAGATGTACAACATTCATATTCTTCCCTCAGTCAGCTATCAGACCTCCTGAAGAGCCAGGAAAGCCTGGAGTACTCCTGCAATGACTAGAAGCATGGTAAAAGCAGAGGCCCCTTGTTAGTCACCATAGGGAAGCCTGAGTCCAGGTGCAGTTTTCTATCAAAAGCATTCCTAAGGGCTTCCTGGTTATCATAAGAGCAATGAAAGGTACTAGGGTCGACAAGATAGCTCAGCAGACTAAGCACCTGTTTGGGCAAGCGCAGAGACTGGGGTTCAATCCCTGGCCCCACATTCCTCACTGGCCCTGCCACCTGGCACACTGAGCCAGCCACCAAGACCGGGTATGGTAGCACATGCCAAAATCCCAGTGCTGGGGAGGCTGAAAACAAGAAGATCAACAAGTACAAGCTGCACAGTGAAACTCGAAAGAAAAGAAAAAAAAGGAAAAACTGAATACACAGGGTTTGAGGGTTATTGACAACTACCTTATGCAGGACAAAGGAGAGCCCTCAAGGACATAGGAGTTTAGAACACACCTCACCTTTAAGTCTCTATGAACAATAAACTTCTGGTGACAGTACTGGACAGCAGATACTATCTGAAAGGAAGGAAGAAGGGTCAGCCCCGTGGTGCCGAAGGGTTGGCCATGAGATCTTGTGGAACTATAATCTCATGAACTAAATCTAAGTTGCCACACAGAGAGATAGGGTCCAACATATCCACTGAAGGACACTTACAGATGGGCAGCTTTCTTTGTATATTGAACCCTAAAAGGCAGAGAGGTTGGCCCGAACCCTGTGGAGGGAGGCATACCCACCTGTCGGAATTTGGCTCGAGCCTCTTTTTCTTTCATTCTGCCATGAGCCACTAGGTAATCAAATACCTCTCCTGCAAGAAATGGGTAGGAGCACAGTGAGAGCTGGTGAGTGTCAGGGAGAACAGGGGTACAACAGGAAGAGGCATTTCACACCTACCACCACTGGCGTACTCCATGACAAGGTAGAGAGTCTTCTCAGTTTCAATCACCTCAAATAACTTAACTACAAGACAGAAAGTCAAGCCAGGAATCAGATGAGAAGTAGGGGTCATATGCCCAGACCAATGTGTTCAGGGCATCCTAGTGACAAATGCTACTTTCATGTTTCTTTGTCCCTGGGTTCTTCTCATACCAAGCAGTTACCAAAGGCAGCCCAGGGTACCAAGGGTGGGGCTGGACTTTTGAGCTAAGCTTCCCCAGAGGCATCCCTGACACACTCAAGGACTACAGATTCCAGAAGGCAACGAGCTAGGGAGAACTATATGCTGCCACTTGAGAACCCTGCTGTGAAGAAGGAACAAAGGAGTGGCAACTGCATCTTACCTATGTTGGGATGGTTCAGAACCTTCATTATCCTTACTTCACGGAATAACTGGAAAAGAACACAACAGTGGTCATGCTTGGTGAACTTACTCCTCTTAGGTCCCTCCAAACGAGCTTTTACTAGAACCTTTTTTAATTTTTTTGGTATCAGGAATTGAACTCAGGACCTTGCACTTACCAGGTAGACGTATAAGCCACTGAACTATTTCCCCAGCCTTTGCTAGATCTTTTTTTAAAAAGAGAAAGACCAAACCCCAATCCAAGTGGAGATAAAAAGGGCAATTGTTCAGTTCATTGAGGTTCTCACATAGTTGTGAGGAACGGGAGAGACAGGGCAAAAAGGGAAGCTGGAGGACACAGCAGGGTTCTGCTGACATCCAATCCCATGCTGCTTCAGCATCAGAGGACCCAGTTGATGCCTCTTCCCCAGTGACCCAAAGCCAGCCTCAGAAGAGCAGGATTTTGGTTGGGATCCTCTACTGGAGGGAGTATGAAGCCATGGATATGATATTCAGCATCAGTGACCAAACACCTGCCAGCTGATCTGATGAGGGGGCAGGAAGAGGGTCTAAAGGAGCACCCATCACTCTGGGGTATAGGCCTTTCTCTCTTGGGCCTCCAGGATGGTGACAGAAGAAGCCACTCCTATATATAGCTGATGCCAATTTTAATCAAATCCACCTCCACACACTCACGCTCTCTTTGTGAAACAAATCAGGGCTCCAAATCATATATTTCCATAGAGAAAGATGACAGAAATGAACTCCTTCCCCTTGCGGGGGCCAAAGAGCTGGAGGTGGGGGTTTTATAACTTCCAGGCCTCACTACTTGTGCAAAGAACAGAACTGGCTGGATTTGTTTATTGTTTTATTCTTTTTTTTTGGGGGGGGCGCAGTGGGATGAGCCCTAATTCAGGATGTAATTTATAGAATAAAGTGAAAAAAATTTTTTTGGTACTGGGAATGGAACTCAGGACCTTGTGCTTGCCAGACAGGTGATGTGCTGCTGAGCTATATCCCTGGCTTTTGGTTTTTTTGAGACAGGGTCTCATTCTTAGTTTTGGCTGGCCTTGCTCTATCTATCTATCTATCTATCTATCTATCTATCTATCTATCTATCTATCTATCTATCTACATGTACATCCAAATACATATCGAGAGCAAGGCAGGAATAGAAACCAGAGCCGGTAACAGTGAGCAGCACTGAAGTCAGACCCAGAGTTTGTCTCCTGAGAGATATTAGTTTTCTGAGCTCACCTAGAACCTAAAAGGGACTAATTTCTTTAATATTTGTCCTTTATGGCTCACTATTAGGACCAACATTAAACTGTAACTTGGTCATAAATAGACTGGGCTTTGTAATAAAATGTATTAAAAGGCTTTTATTTATTTATTTATTTTTTTGGTGGAACCGGGGATTGAACTCAGGCCCTTGCGCTTGCCAGGGAAGCGCTTATTCCACTGAGCCATCTCCCTGGCCCCATTAAAAGGCTTTTAAAATGGCTGTATAAGGCCAGCAAAATAGCTCAGCAGACTAAGCACCTGCTTAGGCAAGCACAGAGACCGGGGTTTGATCCCATATGCTGTGCCAGTCCTGCCCCCAGTGTGCTGAGCTGGCCATAAGACCAGGTGTGGTGGTGCACACCTGTAACCCCAGGGCTGGGGAAGCTGAAAACAGGAAGATCGCTACTAGCCTGATCTCTATAGTGAGACCCTGTACCATATACATATGGTTGTATTCAAACAAAACAAAATACAAACAGCTATTATGTCTCTGGTGGCATCTTCTGGCCACCCAAGAAGGAGGACACAGAGAAAGGCAGGTTATGAGATGGTTTTGTACAATTGATGATGATAGGCCAGAATGCTCCAAAGAGCAAAAAAGTCCACACACATTTGCTTTACTTCTGTGAGGCTGCAGCCTTCCTTTCCTTCCTCCTAGAAAGCTGCAAATGGGGAAGCCCTAGTGGTAACAGCAATAGTCTTTCAAACCAAAGATTCCCCACCCCCCATATGCCATTCTGTCATTGGTATGGCACTGGGGGTCAAACCCGGGCTATGCTAAGCCAAGCATTCTGAGTTACATCCCCAGCCTAAAAAAAAAAAAAAAAAAAAAAAAAATTGATATAAGGTCTTGCCCAGGCTGGCCTAGAATTTAAAATCCTGTCTCAGCCTCCTCAGGAGCTGGGATTATAAATGTATACTACTGAACCTAAGCCCCCTAAAAATAAAAAAAAAAATTTTTTTAAAGGGGGTGAGGCAGACACTTTGGTTCTAGCTGTCAATTTGTCTGAGGAACTCACTCTACTTGTTCTAATTTCAGAGGCACCTTTCTGTGTAACAATCCTTAGCCCCGCTCCAGTCCTAAGCCTCTTGATGATGTCATTACATCTAACATGGAGCCCTGCCCTGCCCCTCAAACACCACAATGTGCTTATAGAGAAAAAATTTCTATTGGCCACAAGATGAAAAGAACAGTCTTTGTCCGAAAATATAAGTGAGAGTTACCTGCAGTAGGAGAATCCAAAGAAGTCTGCTGTACCTGAGTAGGACAGCTTTTTTGGAGCCATACAGGAGCCTCCTCTCTCATATAACTGCTACAGCCCAAGATGGGTGAGAGGCAAAGAGTTTCTAGTTTCATAACTGGTCACTGGCAGGCTGCCCTCCTGCTGCAAATGAAAGACTCCCTTTTTTTTTTTTTTTTTTTGGCACAGACATTGTGGTTGTAACCCGAGGTTTCTTTACCCACTAAGAAAGACTTCAGGGGCCGGGGAGATGGCTCAGTGGAATAAGCACTTCCCTGGCAAGTGCAAGGGCCTGAGTTCAATCTCCGGTTCCACCAAAAAAAAAAAAAAAAGAAAGAAAGACTTCAGTTTCCGACCGTTAAACAAGAGTGAAAGCCAAGCTCAATCTTGACTAGTAAACTATGTACAAATGACTGTGACATCTAGAGAGCCTAGAAGTGAGAAGGAAATGTGGGAGGATCTATCCTTAATGTGCACACTGGAGTTCAGCTTCCAATATTGACAGTCTTTTATATTCACTCTGAAAGGAAGCTCATACAGAACCAGTGACAGGTTCCTTGCCTCATCTCGGTACTTCCAGAGCTACTCCCTTGGAACATCTCAGGTCCTGGATTAGTTACATGGCTGTCTTTCTTCTCTCTCTCTCTCTCTCTCTCTCTCTCTCTCTCTCTCTCTCTCTCTCTCTCTTTGGTATTTTAGGGAAAGATCTACAGGGTGTTCAGGGTCTCACTACTAGATTGGACTCGTAGTGGTGTGCCTTGTTTACAGCCTCCCAAGAGTTACTCTTGTTTACAGCCTCCCAAGAGTTGGGATTATAGGCGTGTACCACCACATCCAGTCTTAGGTGCCATCTCAGCATGGCCTGGACCCTGCACCTTCTTGCAGGCGCTTTAATCTGCTGAGCTATTTGGCTGGCCCTACATATATTTCTAGTAATGCTATAAACTTCCGTTTCTGTATATGGCTGACCAAAGCCCAGATGATAACAAGATGGAGGAAGTAGGCCAGACAGACCAAGCAGGTGGGAAGGAGCAGAGTGACATAGAAAGAACCACTATCTGTGGTGCAAGACCACCCAGGGAGTCCACAGGGGATGCAGCCAAAGCCTTGGGGGCTTTGGTGGGCTCAGCAGTTCATTGATCCCTGACAGAAGCTGAGAACAGGACAGGAGATGTGGTGCTTACTTTCTGAAGGCTGGAAGAGTTCAGTTGAGTCTTGTCAATGATCTTCACAGCTACCTAAACATAAGACAAAAACAGCCCAAGATCATTTTGATCAGGCTAAACCCAAGTCTTCCCTATTTCTTCCTTTCGTTTTTCTTCCTTTCTTCACCCCTCAGCCTCTACACCCCGGCCCCATACTGGGGATTGTGCCTAGGGAGTATGAAGCACACCCAGCCATCTTTATTTTTGAGACAAGGTTTCACTACAAAGTTCAGGCTGGCCTTGAACTCACTATGTAGCCAAGGCTGGCCTCAAGCTTGCAATTAACTCTCCTGCCTCAGCATCTCCCATTCTGGATTTATAGGAGTGCTTCATCATGCCAGGCCCAGCTTTTTTTTTTCTAAAACAAAAACTTTGGACAGGATCTTGCTAAGTTGCTCAAGCTGGGCTTGAACTTGCAATCCTCTTGCCTAGCCTCCTGAGTAGTTGGAGTTATAGGTATGTACCACTATACCCAGCTTATCTCAGGGATTTTAGCACCCTGTCCCATCTAATTTTGGTCTGAGAAACAGGAGATGACTATAGTTACAGTCTTACCACTACGTGCTAGAATGCCAACATGACAGGAGCTCCTGCCAAGCCCCAAAGTCCAGTGCTCACCTCTTTCCCAGTCAGGATGTGCCTGGCCAACTTCACCTTGGCGAAGTTACCCTTGCCAATGGTCTTGAGGAGCCGGTAGTTGCCAATATGGGGCTGCTCATCGATAGAGGTGGCTGAGTTGCGGCCCCGCAGCATGTTGGACTTGCTGCAGGGCTTGGAATCTGTGTGCCCCAGGGTGGTCTGCAGGTGGAAACAGACACGCCTTTCTTTACATGCTGTCCTTCAGTTCCTTAAGTCCGTGTACTTGACTTTGCAAAAAGTACAAGATAGGGTACAGAGGAAGACTCCAAGGGGCTGGGAAACATGTAAAGAAGGGGGCAGAGGGCAAAAAAGAGGTCAGGACAAGCCAGTCTTCACTACAAGAGAGGACAGCAAAAGGTTCAGTGTCAAGATCACAGGGGCATCAGAGTTTAGGACTCTAGCTGTTCCATTATGGTACTACCAATCTCCTATTAGTGAACCAGTAGCTCCTCTGCCTTGGGTGGGAGACCCAGTCTCCTAATGTCTTTCTCTTCATACTGCAAAAACAGTGTATACTGGAGACCCGGGAGCAGTACGGCCAGAATCACTTCAAAGCTGACATTATTACTACCCAATGTTTTATTTATGTTAACTTTTATGATTTATCAATTTATAACTTGTTTTATTTTATCTTATTGGTTGGTTGATTGAGACAGGGTCTTGCTATAGTTCAGGCTGGCTTTGAACTGTATGTAACACAGGATGCCCTCAAATTTGTAGCAATCCTTCTGCCTCAGCTTCCTAAGTGGTGGGATTACAGGAATGTTTTCTGTACCCAAACAGATTGGATTATGGCTGATATTTAATAGTTCTTGTACAATGAGAGAACAGAACAGGGTTGAAATATGATGAAGGCAGTAGTCTACTTTGCTCTGCCTACCTTAGATACCCCATACCCTACAGCTCACACAAGGGCACAAGGAAGTTACAAATGGCTCTAAACAGGTATACAAAAAAGTACAAAAAGCATGTGGTTCAGAAGAAAATATGGCCATATTTGTACATTCCTCCAAGTGCTAAACACAGGTCATATGATCCACCAATTCACTTCTAAAAATATACCCAAGCATAATGAAGACATGTCCACACAAAGACCTGGGTACCAATGTTCATGGTAGCATAATCCTTAATAGCTAAAAAGTAGAAACAACTCAAATTAACAATGATGAAGAGATAAACATGCAACACATTCACATAGTGGAATATTAACTAGCAATAAAAAGAAATGAAGGGGGGGGGCCAGGGAGATGGTTCAGTGGAATAAGCATTTCCCTGGCAAGCACAAGGGTCTGAGTTCAATCCCCGGTTCTGCAAAAAAAAAAAAAAAAAAAAAAAAAACCTCTTCTTTGGGGCTGAGGAGATGGCTCAGTAGAATAAGTGCTTCCCCGGCAAGCGCAAGGGTCTGAGTTCAATCCCCAGTTCCGCCAAAAAAAAAAAAGAAATGAAGGACTCATACGCAGTACAAAATGGAAGCATCATGACAATATTAAGTGAACAAAAGACTCCATGTTGTGATTCCATGTATACAAAATGTCCAGAATAATATAAATAGAACGTAGATTACTAGTTACTCTGGATGGAGGAGAGTGGGGGAGGGTGACCGGAAGGTGACAACTAAGGTGTGTGAAGTCTCTGTTTGGGGTGATGAAAATGTTCTAACATTGACTGTGGTGATAAACACACACCTGTGTGAATTTTATGAAAGCCACCCAATTGTAAAGAGTCAATTATATGGCATGCAAGTTATTTCTCAATATAAAAAGGAACCCAATCTAACTGCCGCTTTGTATCGCAATCCATCTCTCTTAGTATAGCACCATCACTCTAACACCCTGGGAAAAACTGGCACCAAAGGCTTATTCCAAAACCATCAAAACCTGGTTTGGAAATTTCATGAAGACACTCTGGAGGGTAGAAAGGCGACCAGAAATGTGAAAGTCAAGTTTCTTCCTTTCATGGCTTCTTCTGGCTCCATATGAAGCCCTCAAAAACCAGATTAACGGCATGGTGGCATATGCCTGTAATCCCAGCACTTGGAAGGCTGTGGTAGGACGACTTCTAAATTTAAGGCCAACCTGGAAGGAAGCCAGCTACATAGTGCAAGACCAGCTTGAACTGCATAGTGAGACCATGTCTTTAAAAAAACATGGCTTGCTAAGATCCAAGGAACTGTTATGGTCTCATCAAGAAGTTTGCTAAGTTTGCTGGCTGATTCCTGGTACCAAAAAGAAAAAAAGCTCGTTGGCTCAACAGATGTTCCCTTCTCAGAGAGAAAGAACAAATGCCCTGATTCTGATTCCCTTCTTCTCCAAGATATCCATGGAAGGCCTCTGTATAATAGTTATAAGCTGTTCTTTAAGCAGACTGACCCAAAAGTCCTCTCCCTAGGGGAGCAAAAACACTACACACATGGTAGGCCATGAAAGGAGAGGTTCCCCATACACTAGAAGATCACCTTTCCATCTTCTTGGCTTCCAGGGACCATCTACTCAACTACAAGCCCTTACCATCTCTAGTATCCTCATGAAGCCACAAGCCCTACTATTTTAGCTACAGAGCTCTTAGGCCTACTGATCACATACCCTATAGCTCATCTAAGGCTGGCTAGTCTTCAGATATTGTTGCTAGACAAGCAGATGTTCAAATGCTTGCTTTTTTCCCTCAAAGAATTTTGAAGCTCATATACCTTGGAAGGAACGGCAATTAATTCCAGGCCTTATTGGTGTCAGCTGGAGCCAGTCTCCTGTAAGGCACCCTGAACCCATTGAGCAGGTCCTGAAGGCCTGGCCTCCACAGCCCACTTCTTTTCAGCCCATTTTCCCTGACAAGCTGCCAAACTTCTATTGCCCCCACATGCTCATGGGACAAACAACAGGGACAATTTTCTTCTGTCTCAACCCCAAGAGAAAGATGTGTAGGAAAGCTTTCTAAGGAACTTCTTAGATACCTTACAGGTTTCTTGCTACACTCCATTTTGGAGATCACAAATTAAAGACAGCCGGAGCCTGGCAGCTTCCAAGTCTGAAAACCTAGAACAAAGTGTTAGGCCCTCTATCTCTCTGGAGCCCAATCTGGGAATACCATGCCTACTGTGAGCTCTGCCCTGCCCATCTATTCCCTCTTGGTGTTTCTGCCCTGGTGCTGATCTTTGTGGCACAGCAGGTCAGCATTTTTTGCCAGGTGTGGCTACACCTGAACTCAGAGAGCATCAATATCCACAGGCAAGACTTGCCATGCACACTCTTACTTACTAGTTAAAATTCAGACTTCTTGGGCTGGTAATTTATAGCTCAGTGGTGCAGGGCCTGCCTGGCAAGCATGAAGTCCTGAATTCAATTCCCAGTACCTCCCCTTCAAAAAGATTCAGACTGTCAAATACTAAAAACAAATTGCCAAAATTTAAATACTAATTGCCACATAACACATATTTATCACAGTCAACATCATCCTTGTGAGGGAAGAGAGGTAGCAAGAAGGGAAGATGAAGAAGAAAACTACCCAGAAGATGATCTATAAGGGATGCCCCACACATGTGAAGTAGTTCAGTGGGTGCTGAGGAATTCTGCAGCCCAAAAGAACTAGGTTCAAGTCCTGTCTCCCCTACCTACCAATTTTAGATTCCTGGGGGCTGGCAGCTTAGCTCAATTGTTTAAAGCCCCTTCTTAAGCAAAATCAGTCAGGGGTAAGGGACTGTGGTTTGATCCCCAGCAACACATGCCGCACCAGACCTGCCCTTAAGGCAGCCTGAGCCAACAATTAAAAAAAAAAAAAAATCCTAATTTTAGATTCCTTACCTAAAAAGTGGCAATAAAAAATTCCCTACTTTTCATAGGTAGATGAAAGCACACGTAAAATGCCTATACAATGTTCAATAATGAGCAACCATTATGTCCCCAAATGCTATTATGCTGGCTACCAACAATCTTCTATACCTAAAGCAAGCCCACTTAAGCCAGCTACAGGCCTTCTCCAGGTGAGTCACCCAGACTAAGCATCCACTGTCCTCTGGATCTGTCCTCAATCCCCATGGGCACTCCAACCCAGCTTCTATAACATTTACAAGGACAGAGGGGAGGAGCCAGGCACTCCGATGGGGTGGGTTGTGAAGGGGTACTTCCAAGATGGGTACCCAGCACAGTGAAGGAGGAGGTTCCATTTACTCAGAACCCATGGAAGCAGCAACCCTGGCACCTGTTCTATTCCTGTTGCAAAGCCACCACCTCTCATTTCAGATCTGAACTAGTCAATCACTCAATTAATTCCTAAGATAGGGTCCTGCTATATAGTCCAGGCTGGCCTCAAACTCACAGTGATCCTCCTGCTTCAGTCTCCCAAGTACTGGAATTATAGCCACATGTCATCATCCCCAGAGGAATCATCCAATCTCTTGGGACTCGAAATAGTCCTTCTCTTACCCTCATTATGCCTCTGTGAGGTTGCAAGATGTTTCCCACAGCAGGGATATGGGTAAGATGAAGTAGGCCCATGGGGAGGAAGCAGAGAAGTAGAGAGCAGAAAAAATGAATCTCAAAGATGCTTCTAAAAGCATTACCCAGTGAAGGCAACTTCCTTCCATGTGGAAGAGCTGTTACCATGCAAAGAATTTCCCTTCTATAGTTCCTAGCAGGCCTCTTCATTCTAGCCCCTTATCTCACCAACAGGGTGGCAGGCTGAGGCTTACCTGCCCTTCCGGGCCAAAGAAACAGGATCTGAGTAAACCCCTACTTGCCTCTCCACCTCTAGCCTCCCTGCTGTCAGTGGGATGTGTAATCTCTGATTCCCAAATCTGAGAATCATATCCTAGGCAGGCCCCCAAGGCCTAAAAAGGTCTGCTGAAAGTAGCCCCATGGCTCTCAAGCAGGCTTCAGAAAGAATAACAGGTCTCTCTTCAAGACAGAATTTGGAACCCAATGGTAGACTTAGGTGGTTATTAGGCAAGTCTGTTTTAGAAGTAAGGCCAAAACAGCTTTGAGGCTGTAATCAACAGGAGAGAAGCCAGGGAATAAAGGGTAAAAGAGAAATAAGAATTGTAAAGCTACCAGGTCTGCAAGGGCCCTACTGCCTAGAATCTCAGAACATGGCCTAGGTATTTGCCAGCCTTGCCCAGAGGACAGCCAACACCCCAAGATGCCTGGTGCTGACTCAGGTAGGCAGGGTCC